AAAAACCAACATGCTATTTTTTTCCATATTTATTCTCTGCTTGCCTTGCATTTATCACACACCTGGCCAGTTGAAGGAGGTGCAGGTATTCTTTAATCAACTTCTGAAAATTGGAAGTGGGCCATTGCTGAGCTTAGGAACAGAAAACATAGAGCTGTCCACTGCCATTGACCATATTTTTGGGGGACACCACTATCTGGTTCACACCATAGCCTCCAGACCCTGGGGTGCTCTGTGTTTCCAAGGACTTGCTCAGGGCCTCTCTGGCTTCCTCAAATGCAGTTCTGATCAACTTCCAGGGAGACAGATGCTGGCCTATGACTCAGTCTTTGGCGTATCTTTTCTTGGCATCGTTCATCATGGCTGTCATAATAGTGCCCTTTCTTTACATTGCAGGGTGGTGTTGCTGTTCAGATGTAAAATGTATTACGAGGGATGTTATAGGAAGTAAAAATATAAATATTAGAAAAATTACAACAAAATGAACCAGTGATTATCTCTATGTGGGGAGAGAAGGTATGCTTTGGGAGGGGGATGTGGGCCTCTCAGTATCTTAGAAACACTCTTTCTATAGGTGCTAAATAGAACCATACATTCTATTCACTCTTGTATATGTCTACTACATTTTATTTATTTTTTATTTTTTTGTATTTTTGTGGCATTGGGGATTGAACCCGGGGGCACTCTACCAGTAGCTACATTCTCAACCTTTTTTATTTTTTTGAGACAGGGTCTCACTGAATTGCCCAGGCTGGCCTCAAATTTGTGATCCTTCTGCTCAATTTCCTGAGTAGCTGGGATTACAGGCAAGTGCCATCACTCCCAGTTCATTTTATAATAATTTTAAATAGGCTTAAATACCCACAAAACTGATAAGGAATGGGGTTTGCAAGGATTACACCAGGAAAGTCTTTTAGTACCGTTTTGCATTTTAAACCATGTACATGTATTGCCTTGATAAAATAGAGCTTCTTTCCTAGAAAATTAGTTTATAGAGATGGAAGTCAACTTCTTGCCTTTGTGCATTTCTGAATCTGTCAAGAGACCAATAGAGATGACTGACTACAATACAGCCCAGTAAGAGTTATAAAGAACCCAAGTGCCAGTACTTCTGGACTGAAGAAGAGGAAGCAATGATATATTTTTGTTAAGTCACGGAGAGGTGAGTATAGGGAGACAGTTTGTAAATCAAGCCTTGAGGGAAGAGGAGGAGTGTGAACATAGAACAAAGTAGAAAGGGCATTTCTTCACACAAGGAGCAAGGACACAGGAGTGTGAATGAAAGTATAGATTAGTACAGGATCAGGGATGATACCTAACCTCCAGGGTGGCATTTGTAGTGTTGTGCAATGTGACTTGCATAGTCATCCATAGCAATCTTGGCTGAATTGAGTGTCTAGAGCCCATGTTGGAAAATTAAAAAATACAGGGTATTAAGTAGGAAGTGGAAAAACAACATATGAAATGAAAAAGATGGTTATTGAACCCCAAAAATAATTCACAGAGCTAGTGTTGACATATCTAAATTGTCATTTCAGTATGAAATTTAAAAATCATACCAACCACTTGTACTTAATGTGTGATAGCAGTACATGTCTTTATAAGGGCAGGGACAAACATGAATAAAACTTTGAATATATTTCATATTAATTCTATTCCTTAAAGTCTTGAGAACATAGAGAACTGTATAAAAACCATGAGATAGCTGTATGTACATCTTTATTAGAAAAGAAATTAACCATTACCACTAGTTACCACAGAAGGAAATTAACAATCTTACAATTCTAGAGACAAACTTCACAGTAAGGGAGCCTTAAATTTCCAACTTGTGTGTGCGTGCGTGTGTGTGTTATTTAGGACAGTGTTTCTCAAAATTTAGCTCCTTTCAGACATACTCTTGGGATTTCTTGGGACAAATTTGGGATATAAGTTTTCTATGCTAATGTTTTACATCTTATATTTTAATTTTGCTGGAATCTAAATCCAATGATACACAGCTATTCAGGGTGATCTGGAACCATCTTATCTAAGTGTTGCCACATGTTTGCCTCTTGCCCTGCTGCCTCTATCCACATGACCCTGGTGAAGACCAACCCTGTGCTCAAATTTTTCTCACAGGTTCTCAAATTGGGTGCTCATGCCCTTTCAGAATTGTGGAATGTTTCCAATGAGATGTGTGAGATGGCAAGGTGAGAACAATGGCTCCAAGCAGTGACCCTCAAGGTTAGATGGGGTGGGGTAGGTTTGAAAAAACAGACTCAAAATATCCAGGGGTTTCATGATACAAATTGCATAAAGTCATGTTCAGCAAAATAATTTCAGCTGATGGGAAATGGCAGGAAACCAACTGTAGATTCATCCTTGGAGCATCTGGATAAATATGATTGAGAAACACTGGCTTGGAGGTAGAGGCATGCTGNAAAACAGCAACTTTGGTGATATGGGGCCCTGTACTGCTGGAGTAGCCTTTCCCAACCTTAGTTAGGTAGCACTGTCTACACTTGAGAGTTAACTCAGATGTAGCTATTCACATCTGTTTCCCAGTGACCCATCTGTTTGAAACCCACTAGTGGCATCTTATCCCATCCAATACAAACCATGGTCCATATGATGTGGCTTAAAGGCCTTCCTAGCCTATCTCCCATTATCTCCCCTGGCTCTCTTAACTCATAGTGCTCTAGCCATACTGGCTTTCTTTCTATTCCATGAACCTGAGAGGCATAGGACCTTAGTATTTGCATTCTCCTGCCTGCCACATTCTACCCCTAAATTCCTTTCTCTTTACTGTCTATAGAGATATACTCAAATGTTTACCTCTTAGGCTCTAATGGCTCTATTTAAAACTCTGCTACCTACTTCCTTCTACTTGATTTTTCTTTGTAGCCATTCACTTACCTCCCAGTGATTTTATTGTATTTATTGTCTTCCCCACTTGAATGCAAGTTCAAAAAGGCAAAAACCCACCCCCATGGCTATATTTCCAATGTCAAGAAAAGGCCCTGATACTTAATAGATGCTTAAAATAATTTCTTATATCCAGCAAAAGCATTCTTCAAATATGAAGGAAAACAAGCTTTCCTCAGACAAATGAAAATTGAGGGAATTTGTTGCCAATAACCCAGCCTTGCAAGATGTGTCCAAAGAAGTTCTTCAGGGAGAAGAAAAATGAGATGGACCAGAATTTAATCCTAATGAAGAAAAGAGAAGCATTAGAGAAGGCCCAAAGAAGGCTCTGATCTAGGGACTGTGTCCATAACAAAATCAAATCATGCAGCCCGATTGAAGGCCCGGTTCTGTAATCAGTAAAGTCCTGCTGAGTTTCTACTACAGACACAGCAACACAGGTCATTACAGGATARCCAAGACAGCAACTACTCTCAAGTGTTCAATCTCTTTGAATATTAACACTTCATTATTGGGGATCAGGAAACAAATAGCTTCGAAGGATTTGTTCTTCCCCTTAAGGATGGCATTCTGGACTCAAGAACCCGTGAAAACTATTTTCTAAATGTTAAACCTTAAAGACAACTACAAAAAACATTGTTGCTTTACAAAGAGATGAAAAAAATTGTTAAATGAGAACATGAAGAAGTCAGCTTTTTCTGCTAAAGAACAGATGCTGCCACTTAAAAGGGTAGTTTCCAAACTATGTTGCAAATTAGAATCACCTAAGGATCTTTCAAACTATTGATGCCTGCTCTTGCTGCCTCCCCACATTGGCATGTATTTGGTCTGGAGTGACTTGGGCATAAGGATCCTTTCAAAAGTTCCCCAGGTGATTCTACTGGCCAGCAAAGTTCAGGAACCACAGGCTGAGAGGGATCCAGGGCAGGAGACCCTGTGGGAACACATGGTTGTTTGCAGTGTCCCTTTCTTTTCAGGACCTGACTCTGTGCTTCTAAGCCACAGGGATTCTCCTGTCATGAAGTCTGCTCCAGAACCTCAGCTGAGAGCAGTAAGGTAACTTATTTAGCCTTTTCTATACTACAATGCTGATTTCTGATTGGAGAGAAGGGGGAAAACCACCTCCCATACTTTATACTACAGCCCAGAGAAAACTCTGTCAGTTAAACTAAACTGAAATAGGATATGTGCTTTCTGCCAATACTGTTTCAGAACGTGCCTCCTGAAAGGGAATTTGGATGAGCTGGTGGGGCATCTCACCCCTCCCAGAATAAAAAATTGTTTGGCCAAGTGCTAAGGAAGGGGAGGCCTTTCAGAGGCGAGCAGTTTTCACAGGGTCCCCCGGTTTATTTGTTTGGAGGTCACCCACTCTACGAGGTCAGCCACTCTAGTCTTGCAGCTGGGGTCCTTGAGGATCTGAGATGTGGTGACTTGCTGAGGATCACAAAGCAAGCCATTGTGAGAGCCGGGCCAGAACTCTGGCAGGCCTAAAAATATTCCATAATTAAGTTAGAGCGAGGGGGATAATGGTGCATTCGATGATTTTTTTTTCCCTAGTAGGAGGAGTTTGATAAGGAAGAATGAGCAAATTAGGTTATAGTTAAAGCCTAGAAAAAAGGTCATAGGACAGCAAATCCCACTCAGCCACGTGTAAACAGAAGGAAGAGTGCACATGATTCCACGTCTGATAACAGAAATGTGCAAATTGCACCCGCTTCTTCCCCCCACCTCCAGCCCCAGCCCATCTAGCCATTAGAGAAAACTGTCAGTTCAAGGCAGTGCTAAAAACAAAGCCTCATGCCCCTAAGTCCTTGCGACTCCTCCCACCCAGCAGTTGGGCCCACAGACCTGACAGCACACTCTGCTGGGCTCCCTCCTCTACTGAGAGGACCCTCGGCTGCTGTCCAGCTGCCAATTCAAGTGACCAGCGTCTTCCCTCAGGCTCCCTCCCCCACACCCCACAAAGCCCTCTGGTTGCCTTGAAGGACAGAGCCCTGGCTGGCGGTGTCCTAGAAAAGGCACAGGCGTATGTAAGTTCATAGCCCTGACAAGAGAGAGCAACCCCGGAGTCTTTTAAAACTGAATCCCACACTCACCGTTCTCGCGCCTGTGAGCTGTTGCAAATAATCTTGTATCTCATTTGTGTCACCCGTGGCTGTGATATCGACAAATTCCAGAAGCCCTTGTTTGAAGGGCAGTTGACTGAGGATCTCTTGGGTCTTTCTGCAGAAGGGGCAGGTGGGCTTGATGAACACAACGACCTTCCCCGGCTGGATTTTGCCGTCCACAAACTCCTGAGCCATGTGGACAGGTTGTAGTCTCCCAGGAGGAATCCTCGGTTGCAGGTATTGCTCGGGGTGTTAAGCCGAGGCCCAGCCAGCTGGCTCCCTTTTAATAAGGAACCTCCCTGGAGGAGGAGTTTGCCTGATTGTGAGCTTGAGTTTTAAAGGGACAGTCCTAAAGTCATTTCAGCCCGGTAGGATTCACTGGTTAGTGTGCCCATGAATGCATGCTTGCTTTTCAGGCATTAGTAGCTGTGACCAGGGTGTCTTTGTTCTCCTCTGAGATCCATCATGAGTGTCTGTTCTTTACCAGGGATCAGAATTAAGTCACTCTCTGGGGGAACAGAAAGCGAACAGCCCAGCCTCACAGAGGGCTGAGGAGGCAGTGACCTCTTAGAGCAATTTTTTTTTTCCCCTCTTGGAGCTATGATTGGTTTTTAAAATGGAAATGAAGTCATTCAAGGAACTGAAAGCTTTAACATCATTTACAGGAAGCTGAATTGAAACAGTGACTTTGCACTCTGTGGAAATTGCTTGTGGAGTGTTACACTTGGCTTAAATTTCAGATGTTTGTTGTGACTGCTTTAATGGAATCTGTTTTCGGCATTTAAAAATCTGGACAGCAGGGGTGGGGATGTGGCTCAGTTGTAGAATGCCTGCCTAGCATGCATGAGGCCTCTGGTTTTACCCCCGAACCACACACACACACAGAAATAAGTAAATAAAAACCAGAGATTTTGCTAAAGAATCTGGACTTGCAGCTTCTCTAAAATCAGGWTGGATAAAATTGAGCTGGCTTTCTTCAGTGGCAGCAGCTGTAGCTGAGTAGCTGTTGTGCATCTTGGCTCCAGTTTGTCACAGGTCTCACCTAGCAGGACGGCCTTTGAGACATCAGATTCACCCCCATCAGCTTTTGAGTTGGTCGTCCTCGAACAGCAGTTCAGTAAGGGCAAATTCCATCATAATYCCYGACTTCAAACTCTAGATCAAACGAGGGTCTTTTCTGTTTGGCCTTTTCTGTGACCTTCTGTGCTGTTTGTGAGTAGGTGTGGTGTAATGACTCAGCTGTCACATCCACCTGTTATGCAAGACAGGAGGCAGGGCCTGCAGGACTAGAAGATTTTTTGCTCTTCCCAGTATTTCCATTTGGGCAGAGCAAAATCTTCTCTTAGGTTTCTTTCAGACCCCCTCCAGTGTGGGGTAAACTATCAAAGAAAAAATAGCACCTTTAAAATTGAATCAYCCTTTTCCCAAAAAAGTTTTATGTTGAGCATTAATCTCCAGTAAACATAAAGAACTCAAAAAAACTTAACACTTCCCTCCACACACACACACACACACAATAAATTTTTAAAAAATAACCCAATCAATGAATGGGCTAAGGAACTGAATAGACATTTTACAGAAGAAATACAATTTTTTTTTTAAAGAGAGAGTGAGAGAGGAGAGAGAGAGAGAGAGAATTTTTAATATTTATTTTTTAGTTCTCAGCGGACACAACATCTTTGTTGGTATGTGGTGCTGAGGATCGAACCCGGGCCGCACGCATGCCAAGCGAGCGGGCTACCGCTTGAGCCACATCCCCAGCCAAGAAATACAATTGATTGACATCTCTAGCAATTARAGAAATGCAAATCAAAACTACAATGAGATTCCATGTTACTCCAGTCTGAATGGCAATTACCAAGAATACAAGCATCATTAAATGTTGGCGAAGATGTGGGGAAAAAAAGTAAACTCATACATTGTTGGTGGAACTGAAGATTGGTGCAATCACTATGGGAAGCAGTATTGAGATTCCTCAGAAAACTTGGAATGGAACTACCATTTGACCCAGTTATCCTACTCCTCAGTTTATACCCAAAGGACTCCTCAGCATACTACAGTGATGCAGCCACATAAATGTTTATAGCAGCTCAATTCACAGTAGCTAAGCTGTGGAACCAACCTAGATGCCCCTCAACAGATGAATGGATAAAGAAATGTGATATAAATACACAATGGAATATTATTCAGCCTTTAAAAAGAATGAAATTATGCCATTTACCAGTAAATAGATGGAACTGGAGAATATCATGCTAAATGAAATAAACCAATCCCAAAGAACCAAAGGCTGAATGTTCTCTCTGATATGCAAATGCTGACTCACAATAATAGGGGTGGTTGGAGAAGAACAGAGGTACTTTGGTTGGCTATGGGTGTAGGAATGATAGTAAAATGAGTCAGATGTTATTATCCAATGTGCATATATGATTACACGGTTGATGTAACTGTACATCATGTACAACCAGAAGAATGAAAGGTTAAACTCCATTTATGTATGATGTATCAAAATGCATTCTACTGCCATTTATAACTAATTAGAAAAACAACAACATTTTATGTTGAAACCAGAATACCTTAAAAGAGTCAGGACCAGGACCACAGAGTCAGGACGTCCACAGCTGGCGTCGCCATTGTCACAGAATCAAATTCCAAGCATTTTATGATAGAAGGAGAGAAAATTGATTCCCAGAAGCAGTTCTCTTCTGTTGCTCTAATTGTTACTAAAATTTAAATGGAAAATGAGATTCTGGGGCTGGGGGTGTGGCTCAAGTGGTAGCGCGCTCGCCTGGCATGCGTGCGGCCCGGGTTCGATCCTCAGCACCACATACAAAACAAAATGTTGTGTCCGACGATAACTAGAAAATAAATATTAAAGAAATTCTCTCTCTCTCTCTCTCTCTCTCCCTCTCTCTCTTTTAAAAAAAAAAATCTATCTCTCACTCTCTCTTTAAAAAAAAAAAAAAAAAAAGAAAATGAGATTCTGTGCCCCAGAGAGGGAGCTCATAGAGAGCTCTGTCAATACAGAAGTGTGGTAGGGCTGAGACTTCCCAACTACAGCTTCTCTTCCCTTCAGAATAAGTTGGGTGGAGGAGTCTGTGTCTCCCTCCTTTCTTCACCTCACCCAGGCTTGCCTGCAGGGTTTTCAGAGTCCTTGGGGCTTCTGTGTTCATGGGGCTCATGGTTCTATATCAGCCTTGTACCTKGCTATACCTTTGGAGCCTTTCCCTCTTCAGTGTCTGTGTGGGTCTCTCCCTTCCTGACACCTCTTTCTCCTCTGCATGAGACTGTTCAGTTCTCTGCCTTGTTAAAAACCACCACTCTACCACCACTTATATTTCTTGCTTTCCTGTCTCTGCTCTTTCAGGAAACTTGCTGTTAAATTTGCATCTGTCATTTACTTACCTCCTCTTCTTYACTCATTTCATTGCAATCTGACCTTATCTCTGCTGAAACTCCTCTGCATTGCTAAATTACCTTGTAGCTAGGTATCCTGATTGAGCTTAACCCAGAAGTCTAGGTATTAAGCTTTTGGGGGAACTGGTGGAGCAAACTCACAAAGGACTGGTCTGAGCCAGCTAGGGGCTGGGGTAACTGGGGCAGAGGCTGGATAAGGGAGACTCTATTGTCTGCTCCACAGCTTAGCCCCAGGGACAGATGTCTGAAGCCCTAGGACACATGACATAGGACAGGTTCAAGCTGAAAAGGTGTTTTCCTGAGACACTATGTGAGGCCAGGAGACAAACAGATGAGACAGAAAAGAAGGGGTTGTAGTCTCCATTTCTCAGAAAATCCTGTGGCTTGTGCTCAGTTGGAAATTCAAGCATAGGATCCTTTGGTGCAGCAGCAGAGCTGCTGAGACCTCAGGAGAATTTCAGTGGGAATTGCAGCTGGTGGCAGGGGTGAGGAGTGGGGGTGCTGCAGATAGGCTCAACCTCAAGAGCTGTAGACAACAGTGTGTGTGTGTGTGTGTGTGTGTGTGTGTGTGTGTGTGTGTGTGGTGTAGAAGCACCTGTGGGCTCTCCCGGGGGCTCAAGTGAGATACCCCAGCCCCTTCTAGAAATACTTATTAGAAAATGAGGGTGATTTTTAGGGAGAGGCAGTTCTGCTATGCAGATGGTTGGCAGTGAGTTAGTGATCTATGGGAAACATGTGCTATTACTATTAGCATGATCTCATCTGTATTCACAGGCTAAAAAAGGCTGCAAAAATTGAGCACAGATGAATATTTTCCAGGCTTTTTCTTTGTTTACTTTGCAAGATTTGACTCTGCCGATCACTGTCCCCTCCAATGTCCCCAGTGTGCAGTTGCAAAGGGATATTTTTATTCTTCTCGTATATATGGGTATTCTGTCTCAGCCTCTTCCTCAAGAATTTTACCTCCACCTATGGTATATCCTGAGTTTGATCTTCTTACACAGCGTAAGTGTCCTCCTTGACAGATCTTATCATCACATGTGGCGGTTTGAACTCTCACCTTTTTGCTAGTGAGTATCACATTCATTTTTCTTGTCTGGACCTCTCTCCTGAGCCTTGGGAATGCATTGCCCCACCTGGAGTTTCCTTAGGTCTCTCCACCTCACAGAGACCAAACTGAAGCCACCCTCCCCACTTTCCATACTTGCTCATCCTCCTACATGTACCATGTCATCATATACCCTGTTGGCTGGGGTAGAAAACTAGAGGCATCTTTACTCTCCTCTGCCCTCCCTTATGCAGAAGAACCAAGCACTCACAGGTTTGCCTCTTAAGTCCTTCCACAGTGTGCATGCCTAACTGCTCCTGTGGGTCCAGCCTTCATGGTTTTTCATTTGATCTCCTTACTTCCACCCTGGCCCCACAGCCCACTCCATACTATTGTTGGGCAATCTTTTTTTWAAGGATATAAAAGTTTTATTGGATGCAATGTATCATTTTTGGAATAACATATAATCATCAATAAGTGGTGTGAAATTGGAGCAAAAATCTTTAAATAAATTGCCCTTTATAAGCTGATCTACCTGTTTTTTTTTATGATCTTTCCTGTGCAATTCTAAATTTTATTTTCTCATTCTACAATTTTCTATTTCCCTTTTGAAAACAGATCTTTCTTAGCAAGAAGGGTTTCTTCCTTTTTTAATTGGTTCTTTTTAGTTATATATGACAGTGGAATTCATTTTGCTATAGTTATGCAAACATGGAATATATCTTATTCTAATTAGGACCCCATTTTTTGTGGATATACACAATGGTGAGATTCTCTGTGCTGAATTCATATATGTACATAGGAAAATTATGTTAGATTCATTCCACTGTCTTTCCTTTTCCTATACACCCTCCCTTCTCTTCATTCCCCTTTGTCTAATCTACTGAATTTCTACCCCCCCCCCCCCGCTTATTGTGTATTAGCTTCCACATATCATATTGCTGGGCAGTCTTTAAAATGCAAATTTTATATATTCTCTGTGTCTCTATCTGTCTATCATCTGTCTGTCTTTCTCTCTCTTTTTGGTACTGGGGATTTAACCTAGCAACTCTACCACTA